AGAAAATACTAGCTCTTCCTCGTTTTCCCCGTATTGTGGATTACGTAGTTCTGGAGCGAAAGCTTGTATTGCCAAAAAATGAAAGATTTCAAACTTATTGCAGCGTTTTCATTGAATTTTCTGGAGTTTCTTTTGCTTTTACTAACTGTTTTGCAATTTTTTTTTCTTCTCTGGTTTGACATGAACAACCTTCACTTTTTATGAGGGGAGATAACCAAACAGCCCTCACTTTTGAGGCCCTGTTTCTAGAATGTCGAAGGTATACGCTTGCGCCAACTCCCAAACTAGTAGCTCTCCCCCCCCCCCCCTCCCCTCCTACGCCAGCTCCCAACCCCGCAGCTCACACTTTGCCAAAATTCGATGAATTCGCTAAGGCTAGCTGGCTTAGCCGGCTGTCCCTGTCAAAACAGTACAAAAAAAGCTCTCACCCATGTCCCTGTACCACTTTTTCCTATGCCTTAGTCTACATGCCAATTCCCTTCTTCCCACTGTTTTAGTAATCAGCATGCTCGATTACCCCTCCCCCCCCTCGTCTCCTCCCTCCCTGTGCGAACTCACAGCCCCGTAAGTCAAACTCTGCAAGAAACCCCAAAAATCAATAAAATCGATATCGATCGATGACGAAAAGTAGCCCATGACACCCGCCCGCCCCCGAAGTGTGTGCCAAGTTTAGTCCGGATAGGTTCAGAAATTGGCGATTTCTTCATATTGACCGGAACAATAATAAGCCTCATGATGAATATTCTGCCAGATTTTTTGGCTTATTCAATCAACTAGACTTACGTCAATATGTAGATAGAACAACCCATGCAGGTCACATCCTTGACCTAATCCTTTTTATTAGGGTAATCCAAAGGTAATGGGGCACTTTGATTTTTTTAACATTCTTCAAGATTTCTTTCTGAGTAGCTATGAACGCCCAGCATTTTCAACGCCTTTGTATAAAGTGACCTTCGTAGGTTATCTTGACAGCACTTTGCAGCACCTCACCGATAATTCTTCGAGTGGCGCTTCAAAAAATCAGACAGACTTTTTTGAACACCATCCGAATTTGGGCTGCTGCACCTGATAGTCCCACAACATATAGCATACCATTCGAAAGAGCTTTCCAAGCTCTTTTCAATGATTACTTGAATATCCAAGAATTGCCCATTATTTTATACAAAAAAAGCACTTTATTCGAAAAAGTGCGGTGTTCGGCGCAGATTTTCAGACTAAAACTCATGTTTTGGACCACAATCTTTTGAAAATGAGAAAAGTCGAAGTAATTTGCATACGTATGGATAGAGCGTAAAAAGCACTATCAGAGATCAACTGCTAAGTTTGGGCTTATTTGATTACCTTGATGAAAGAATAAGTAATATGTCTCCTGATACTCGATGCTATATCTTCTGTTCTAAAGCCTTGAGACCACCGAGCTATGGATTTGGTGACAGTCCCCTCACCCATTGCTGCGCACATATCTTTGGTAGGCTCACTTGTTTTAATGCGACGCTGCTGCTCAAAATCTAAAATTACTTGACGTGGTGAGCTTTAATTTTAAGCGCTTAAAGAATTAACGCCATGTGACAGTGCCCAACTATAGACCTCGATGAGAAGGTTTTGTTATGTTTCGTCACTCATTCCTATACCAGATTTCCTTAAAACTGATTTTGTTTCTCCTAATGCATATCTTCTCAGCGTTGATTGGCTGCATGTCTTCGACCAGTATTTATCAGTTGATGATGTTTATCAGAGATTCTGCAGAGTTACCTATGAAGCTCTATGCAGGTATGTACCTTTTCGAATCCCCTCACATACCCGAAATACGATATACTAAGCAAATTCAAAATTTACTCGAACAAAAATATCGCCTTTTAATGCAACTAGCGCATCCTAGAGTTAATGTTGTCTATAAGAAAGTTTCCTTAGATCTCAATCTACATTTGAAGAAGTTCCTTGCTAATCGTGAACGGAGATTGCTTTCCAAAGAATCGTCGAAGTATCTTTTCCATCACATCAACAGAAAACTGAAAGCATGTCCTCGTCTACCAGTAATCAAAGATACTTACGGGAACGCTTACTGTTGTGATGCTGACAAAGCCTGATGCCCTAGCTAAATACTTTGCTAGTGTTTTTACTCATAACCCCAACAACACGATTGCCAACCAAAGAACAAGTTATCCAAAATTTGAAAATCGCTCACTACATGAATTCTATTTCACTACTGATGACACCCTCAGGATTGTGAAGATCTGAACTCAAAAAGCTTGCATTATTTTGTACATGAGACAGCTCAAATGATCTCTTAGATAGCAGGAAGACACTTTGCAGGTATGCTGCACATAGATTTTGCGTCATAATCGGTTTCTGTTTCGATTCCTCTATTGTTGAGCTTGTCGTATACTTTATGGCTGGTTTGGATTAAGTTAGGCCTGGCAAGGTGTGATGGAGAAAACTAGTCATTGGCATGCTACTTGTCTTGCCGCATTTGAATTGTAACTTTATTCACGAACATTCATCTGGAAGTTGAAGCACCTTTGATGCACGACTGGCAGAGAAACCAACAACGAACAGCCAGCGGCATTTGTTTCCAGCACCTTATGAAAGGGTGCAAGTTTCGCAAAGTTTGGCTTTTAGATCACATACTTTTATTCGGTGCAAGTCTCAGTGCAGAAACGATGCAGCTTACTCTTACTTGGGATGCCTAAGTAATCCATCACTGCTTCGACATTACAGCCCATCTTGGTATAGCTTGTCCGTATTCTTCAAGTCACTCTTCTACTCAGTCGTGATGATGACTTTCGTAAGAGATGTGATATAAAATCGGCTTATTCGACTTGTAATTTTACGTTCTTTTCGCACGACATAGAAATCTTGTACCTCGGCTTGAATAATTCGAGCAAAACGAGTGTGAAATCTAGTGGCCGGAGAGCAAACGTAAGCGAATATAGAAGAAAAGGTGGATGGGTCGTATTGAGACACGACCCAGGGTGGGGGGATCGTATTTGCCCGTAATATTCCACTGCTCGACCCTGGTCTAATATAGATTGCAAGGCGGGGGAGGTGTCTAGAGCTAATTTGGGTAGGGTTAGGGGCATAAGGCATAATTGGGGCTTGGAGTTTAATTAGAGGCTAGTTACAGTATGGCACGGGGGACTTCGGGAGCACAAATATGGGAAGGATCCGGAGAAGAAGTGGCCGACCTCCGGGAGCGACACTTCCGGCGGCTACCCATTTTGTCCTCCGGAGGCATGCCGTTGACTGTCTGAGATGGAACCATGAGGAAGAACGTAGGCGAAAACAGTCTGTGCAGCGCAAAAATGAAATTCAGTGTTAATTTTAGAGAAGCATTATTCGCCGAACGTTTTTTTAGTCAGTACATAATTATACGAACATCTCAATCAGAAATCTTTTTTTGCTTTACACTAAGATCTTTGGCGTTCACATTTTCTTGTAAGGCCACGATTTCAAGGTCTGAAGTACCTAGTAAGGCTAAACCTGACGAATCACAAAGGAGGAGAAAACTTATTTTGATAGCTCGAAATGGCTTCTGAACAAGTCGGCTCCAAAATGCTTGCTTCGTTTAGATTTCGAACTTTTGACCAGATTATAAGGATAAAAAGTCATTAGAGAGACTGCTTAGAGCTTAGAACATGTTGGTGTAATTGTTCTTCTTGCCATTCCAGTCCTAAGCTTATCATAGAACTGGCACAATTTAGAGCCTCGAAACTCGACTTCTGTCGAACGACAGCTCAAACGGATGAAGGATGAAGTGGCAATAAATGTTCTGGTCGGCCTCAGAAAATGATGATGAAATCGTGCCAGTCGCCAACGCAGTCCCAAACTCACTATTCAGACACACTTTCACGCCTCGAGACTCAACGTTCGTCTTCGCAAAGTTCTGTGATGAGACAAATGCATAATTTGTAAGTTGAAGGAACTTTGAACTCTTGAACTCTCCCCGAAGGAAACCTCAAAGCTGCGCAGCTAGAAAGCGAGAGGAGGCATTCCTGCGTTGATTTGCTTATTCATTTTCACTAGGTGCCGACTACGTGATGAAAAAAAGCGCTCTATGATGAGAAAGCGCTCGATGTTTCAAATTTTTCAACAAAATACAAATTTTTACATTAACACAATCAAGTTCGCGACGTGATTACAACATCACATGACTTTGCGAACGGCGGAAAGTTGAGTCTCGAGGCTTGAAAGTATGTCTAAATTATGGTGGGTTTGGGACTGCGTTGGCAACTGGCACGATTACATCAACATTTTCTGAGCGCTCAGCAGCACATTTATTGCCACTTCATCCTTTATCCGTATGACAGTTGTTCAAAGGTTTCAAATCTCAACGAAGCCGGCATTTTTGGAGCCGATTCATAATTCATCAGGTTTAGCTCTTAGTAAGTACCTCAGACCTTGAGATCGTAGACTTGCATGAAAGTTTGGATGCCAGTTTTAGCGTTAAAGGCACCATACACCCTAAGTTTGCAAAAGTCGAGACGCAAAACGTCACTTCGGAAGCGAGAAAATCGCTCCGAATAACGAAGTGCACGAGGACCCCCAGAAGGCAAGGCCCTCCTCATCCATGCCCGACCATCCGTGCGCCTAATCTTGACTCAAAGGAATTCTTTTCAACAGCAAAATGTCAGGCTCTCCATATACTCTTCAATTCGCCTGTTTGGAATGCAGCTTATGGCTACCGTTTATGCACATTTTCCGGATTGAAGGTGGAGGGCAAAATTGTATGGTATAACGAAAGTGCTGGCACTGCAATACGAAGGACGAGGGAGTCTACGCTGCGAGACGCTCATGCGGAGATGCATGGCCTATCTGGTTGATAGAACACTATCAGGAACTGCCTTTGATGAGTATGTTCAGGAAGAACTGAAATGATGAAGTTACTTACTATGAAACGGTTCCGTCCAGATGCACTCCATCTGGTATCTGAAGGAATGACATGCGACCTATTACGCGGTATGACCCTAACACTGTGCTCAAAAACGCCACATCATTTCAGAATGGTTTCAAAGCGAAGCGAAAACGCACGTAATAACGGTCAAGCGAAGTCACATCAAACTTCTGAGTTTGACACTCCAGAGAATACCGAACATGACCTATGCAACGAGATTCATTTTCGGTTTGGAAAACTCTCGAAAATGACAGGAGCAGAGAAGGACTCTGTATGGCAGAACTTGGTTGTCATCGCATCAATTTAAAAACGTTTTCCAGCTTATGTTTGTACTCTTTCCTCTTGTGGCCGCTAAAACCTTATGCTGTAATTCAGTTGGCTCCGTCTGTATTCTGGTTTACTGGCTTCTTGTTCGTGTTCTTGCAAATGTGGAAGAGTTCAACATTGAGGATACAGAGGCTGCGTCAAACCTTGCGAAAGCTATAAAAGAGCTGTGGATTAGCGTATCGACAAAGTTGTTCACTCTCAAGCTTTATGTAAGATTTTCGCACGCTATTATTGCTAAAGTGTCGTTGGAATTTTCATTTAGTGTCTTCTTAATCATAGCGTCGTAGAACATCTTGCCTTTTGTGGTTCCCTTTTCTGTGGTCGGCTGCACGTTTGAAAGAATGCACCAAGAGTTGCAGTCTCGAAATGTTCAACGTAAAACTAATTGCGAACAGTCGTTGGTTGAGAAGTACTGTAATTACATTCCCGTCAACACGACATGTCCATTATTTCTAGTTTTGTTCTGCACAAAGAACTCCTACAACTTTCGAGCGCTCAATGAACACAGTCGCAACCCACTTTTCATGAAATTGCACAATAAGATCTCTGGCAATTCGACGAACAGGTGCGGAAGAGCATCATACTCATCCTTTGCTCTGTTTATTATCTGTCTTACAAGGGAACGATCCCAATTTAAGGTGGCGAAATGGTATGAACCGCGTACCATTAGATGCGTCTTGATGAGCTGATTTCAAATCTGCCTTTTATTTCTGCGGCACCGTTCTCTGGAAGAAGTTATGAAAGGTTAAATATGTGAAGATAATGGGGTTTTAATGCATAAAGTGCTTTGAAATCCAACTTGGAATTGCATGATTAGCATGATATTGAGTGTATTGATTTCAGAGGATGTTTACATTTAAAGGAAACACAAAGAAGTGTTTTTGATCAACTGATTCTTGAGGTATGGCGCGGTATATTTGCCAAATTTGGACTTTTCATCGCTCATAGCTTCTACCAATCAACTCAATTTGTTTTTTAGTTGTTCGAAAATACTTCTTAGTGTCTATGAATGTAGGCACTCTTTGAAATTAGTACACTTAAAATCATGCTAGTCATGCACTCCCAAGTTGGATTTTAAAGCACTTTATGCATTGAAACCTCATTGTCTTCACATATTTAACCACTCATAACTTCTTCTAGAGAACGGTGTAGCAGATATAAAGGGCAGATTTGGAATCAGCTCATCAAGACGCATCCAATGATATTCGGTTCATTCCAGTTCACCACCTTAAGTTGGGATCGTTCCCTCGTTAGATTTCCGGTAAGCGTGCAATTAAGCGAAAACTGGTATGTCCCTGCTTCCTCAGAGTTAGGTTTGAGAGACCTGGGCCGGTAGTAATCCCCCCGACCTGGCGGCAGGTCTCGTCGGCAGGTTGCTGGCACCTTTCCGCGAGGTGGCCAGAAACTAAGAACCGAAATTTAGGCCGTCCCAGGCCTTTTTTCAAAAAATTTTCTCGATAAAGTTGCCGCCTCGACTCTGTAGAAAACTTCATAAAAAACTGCGGCTCCAGAACTCCTCCCTTAGTAAAATATCTGGAATTCCAGGAGGAGCTGCCGGCAACTTCGCGAGGTCAGTTGCCGGCAACCTGCCGGCAAGTTGGCGGAATCCGCGAGATGGCAGCTGCCGGCAGGTCAGAGAGCACGGGAAATAGCGTGCTCTTTTGAGAGAGGGAGCTGCCGGCATCTCGACGTGCCCCTACCACGTCGAGGTGGTGGCACCTTTGCCGACGGCGTCTGTAAGATTGCGAAATGCGGCGTCTGTAAGATTGCGAAATAAATCACACAATTTACGTCAGGCGAAAAAATCAAAAAATTCTACTTTCCATCCAAAAACCTTTATTTTTCTCATTATATGAGTTTTTCTTTTTTGAAACGACGATTTTCTGACAGAAAAAAAATCTAGCAATGCCTTAGAGCCATAAGGAACACCATCTTCTTTTGCAATCCCTTCTAAATCTTATTTGCAGCGATTTCGTCCCTCTCTCGCTCATATCAATCAGCTGTTCTTTCAGGTCAAAGTCTCTCGCGCAATGTATCGATCCCTCTTACAGGCGGCTATTTGCCAGTGCGTTCCTCACATTGCTGATGCAAACGGCAAAGACTGACCGAATGGTCGAGTGGGTAACGTGGCAGCACTTGAAGTTAGCAAACTTAGGTTCGACCGCGCGCGGGACAGCAGTTTTGCGGCTGTCTACGTTATCAAAATTTGATGAGCGAAATAAGTGCGTACTAAGATTATACAAGATTATTGAAACCTACAATCACTCCGCGAGCTGCCGGCGGAGTTGGCATCTTTCCGCGAAGTGTGCCAACTTGCCGGCATCTATGATGCCACCAGGTAGGGTAGATTACTACCGGCCCTGTTGCCTGAGCATCAATCGCTATTAAGTTCATTGGAAGGCTTCTCTTTTTGGTAAGGCTCTCCTTTCTGCACGTAGATCACTCTAGCAGGACTGATTTTTAGTTCACGTCTGTGTCACAAGCGACAAGTTTACTCCTCCGCAATATATTGGACAAGACAACGGGATACAGTGCAGCATTGTGTTGCCTAAAAGATCTCAATGATTTAGTGTATGGAAATGTTATAGCCTTCGCTTATAACTCATAGGGAAGCTGTCATGTACTTCTGAAGGAGCACATTACAACAGATCCTTTTACTCAACTCGAATTTGCCGTTTTATGAGCAAAACGAGGCTAAAGCTGCTGCTATCAGTGCTTTGAACTTGGTGCAGATATTTAATTATTTTTTTATCTTTCGACTGGCAAACGCCTCAATCTGCGCAATGCTTTTGACATAAAATCTGCGACCAGCTTTATAGAATTCAAAGAAAGACAATATCTTTCTAAGCTTTGAAGATTTTGCTGATGCAACATATGTATATGGTTCTTGAAGTTAATAAACTCTCTCTTTGTTGTTGTTCCATATTCATTCGCGGTTCGTAACCGCTAAGTATCTTTCATCAAATTTCATGCGAAACATAGCTATAGAGATAAATTTGCAATTTATGACAGGCATGTACTCTTCCGACGAAGAATATACTCCGAACTACTTGAACCTCTCCGCTTCTTTTCTTGGTTGGCTTACAAAATTCGGCCCTATCTTGCAAAGGAAAACGACAAAAACGTGAACAAAGAAAATGTCCTTTCGGGTGACTATATCGGCACTCCATCCAATAGTCAAGCCAGTGTGCCGTCAAGCAGTCAAATCAACAGGAACGATTCTCGCAAACGCCTACGGGCACTGGAAGTTTTCCACCAGTTTCTTGGCTTGCAGCCACAAACGATACCCGCTTCTTCTACATCTTCACAGGTTAGCTGTCGCGTTTATGTCGTTCTAATATCTGGAATGGGATATAAAGGAGTGTTTTAGGGGCTTTGAAGCGAATCCTAGAAAAGAACACTGTGTCGCTTGCGAAGTTGGGGAGAGTTGTACGACAGTTTGATATCATTGTCGAAAATGAGGTGATATATACATGTTTTGCTGAGAGGCATAGGGATGATTATGGAGTTTAAGGAGATGTTCATGTCAGAGATAAGCGATATCAAAATTAATATGCAGCATGTGAAAAACATGCAAACAAGCGTCGAAACGGTACAATGTTCTTCAGACTCGGTTGTCCGAGCTCTTACTTGTATCGTAAGAGAACAAACAAATATTATAGCAGGATTGTCCTTAACAGTAAGCGTGATTTCACTGGGTTCAAAGATAGCAATTGGCTTGTCTGCAGATGAACGCCTTTTTATCGAAGCTGAGGCAACAAGACAAATAGTTGAAAAGGGCTCATTTCCAGGTTGCGAAAAACAAAGAGAATACGTTGCCAAAGGGTTATTCATTACAGAGGAGTAATTTATCCAAAGTCTGGCATCTTCAGGGTGCCCCTCGCTTTAAGGTCATCTGGACGTTATTTTAAATCAACGAGGAAAAAATTTTAATCTTAGGAGTTGAATATGATCGAAGTCATGGAAAAGTGGCCGCGACCATAGGTGCGATAGGGGGAGCCGGGTCCTCTCGAGGTGAAGGGGGTCTTAGCTGCTCCTATCATTCTAAGGTGAAGGCAGTAAGTGAGCCCTGAAAGCAAAATGCCCCAACAAGTTGCATACCATTCGAAAGCTGAGGTCATTCAGAATTGACGTAGACCGCCTTTTTTTTCATAGCTTCTCTGTCAAGCAAGATACGAGCAATTTTATACGCCTACTCACCAGCTAATTTTGTGCGATTATTTTGTGCTTCATTTTTGAAAGAAAGGACAAATTTAGAAAAAAAGAGCGGTCTACGTTTACTGGCAAGGTCTTGCTCTGTGATACTGTTAGACAATCAGGCGCCTTCATTCATTCTTCACGCAGGAATTTCTTGACAAAAACATGTATCTCTAGGTAGAGGGGAGGAGAAAAAAAAAGACGGTCTACGTCGAATCCCTTTTTTGTGGGCTTCATAATAGTATATAGGTTTTTGGGTGAAAAAACTTGTGGCGTTTCAAAAATGAGGTGGAGATATTCAATACTAAGTTGCTCCACTCCGCTCCGGCTTTCTATGGGTTGCCGGAGCAAGACTTTTTTAAATTGGGAAAGCTTTATGCACCCACACTTTATAGACCATTCGATAGCTAAGAACACGGGAAATCAACGTAGACCATCTCTTTTTTCCTAGCTTTTTTGTGAAGCGAGATACGAGCAGTTTTATCTAGCTACAATATCAGCCAATTCTGGGTTGTTTATTTTTCAAACCAAGAAGTCTTTTTCGAACTTTTATGTATAATACAAAAGCTTGAAAAACGAGAATCTAACTGCTTTTTTATTTGTTATTAATCCTTCTTAGTGAGAGGAGATATGGTACAATTATTGTCAGCAAACATGCATCCATCACTAACTAGTCCAGATTTTCTATTCTTGCTTAACTCTTTCTTAAGACAATGTGTATTTATTGATACAATCTTAATTATTCAAAAAATCAGACATCCTTTTAATTTTTGATTATGTTTCGTTAGCAACGCCACTTTGAGTGCGCAGAAAATCTTGAGAATGCGTTTTTCTTTTCAACAAAACGCTGTTGATTAATCTGTTGCAGTCTTGATGTCTGAGAAAAACAGCACCTGGCGTTTCCTTTTTCTAAACAAAGAGTGTCATTGTAACAGCTATTTGATCCTGCCGTTATCCTTGATTCTAATCTCAACCTCAGGTGAAAGAGGTCAGCCAGATGCCGGCCCTAAAGTGAAGGGGGTCAGAGAAATTTCTCCACCTATCGCATCTATGGCTGCGACCAAATCGTGCTCGTAAGCACGACCATTTCTTGTTGGTTCTCGACTTTTTGAGGCACTTCTTTTTACATGTAAGTGGCAAAGATGAAGATGATAAGGTTGTTTCGTAAATCACCGTTTAGGCCTACGAACCTCCAACGAAAATTCAAAACTACGCCTGTAGGCAGATTGGGAAGAAGGGGAAATTTAATCATCTTAAGGACCTTCCAGAAGGAGTGGTCGATTTCTTAATAAGTGGGTCAATGTGTCTTTAAGTACATTAACTCCAATAACTGATTTAGGTTTCGTGCTTGACGCTGTGGGCCTGTACCGCGACGAACTCCTGCGAACCCCAAATGAACATAAGCAAAATTTAAACAGGTATGTATATTATCGAAAGAATATTCTGTAATATTCTATATTTCGTATATTCTCCTTCATGTGCACTAGAGTTTAGGTGGTGGATGTCCCTAGGAGAAGAGGACGACGCTCGCGAAAAATTTTTTAACAAGCTCTCGGAGGCAAGAGTGGATTGGAGCGGCCGTGCAAGAATAGCAATAGGGAGAGCACTGTGAGTTCTCACACTGTTAAAAGAAGCGATACTTTTGAATTGTACTTTTGCAGCGCAGACATCCGCACTTACCATCTTGACCCTGAAAGAGACGCGCTTCTTCCGTCAAAAGTGATTCATTGTTTTATATGATCACTGGTTGATAATTTCTGATTTTCAGAAAAAGCGTGTTGTCATCGAAGGCAGCGAAGGGAGCAGTATCATTAAGGAACTAGTGATTGAGAAGGCTGAATGCGTTGGAGATGAAAGAGATTGAAGAAGCCTGACAATATTATTCACATTTTTGTTATTGCTGTATTTGCCTCGTACCTTCGCGTTCCAATTGTAAGCTCCCGAACAATATGTTTGCTGCTTTCTCTGCATTTCAATTCCATTTGTTATAAATCATGCCGAGAAGATTATGTGGTTTTTGTTAATGAATTTGTTGACGTTTGACTGGGTTTTACGAGCAGAAAAATAACAGGCGTGAGAATTAAGACCCAAAGAGACCAAGGGCACAAGGTAAGTGAAAGGAGGCGTGAGAGAAGAGATAGAGGGCGCAAAAATCCGTAAGGGCGCATGCTCTGAACGCGATCGGGACATTATGATGTCTCCCGCAGGTGTTCCGATTTTGTCCGGAATGTGTCGGTCGATACACCTGATTTTGTCGCGCACTTTTGTCCCGAAACAAAATCAGGTGTCCTGATTTTGTCCCGACACCAATTTCGGGAGTCGCGCAGGCATTCCGTGACTACACCTCATTTTGTCCTGCGGGACTCAATGGCGAATGTCTGAGGGGGTTTGAAAGTTCATTTTCCTCCATTATGGACTTTCGTGGATAGCATTCCGTTTTCTGCTTTCAAGAATACTTCTTATTGTTAGAGCTACACGCCGCTTAAGATCATATGTGCGCCGTTACAAAAAAAGAAGAGTGAAGTTGTATTTTTTTTAGTAAGCCAGCAACATTTCATATATTTGCATTCAAAGACCAGCTTTTTCCTCCCGAAACCAGGCCCAGTTCCACCCAAGACATATAAACAATTTAGTACTTACGAGGAAAGGATACTTGGTGAACGCGGACTTTTGGAATAAAACGTATCCCATCAAATGCATCTTGAAGCGCTGATTCCAAATCTGTTTCCATTATCTGCAGTGCGCTTTTCCGAAAGAAGTTGTGAACATTTTTTGTCACCAAAATTTGCACTAGTTTTGATGCAGGACTCACCAATATCGTTAGAATGTTCGCTTACGCACTACAAAAAAGCGTACAGTAAAGCTTCACGTTAAGCTCGGGAAAAATGTCACCGATACATTAGAGTCTAAAAAGCCTGGATACTGACGATTTTGACTGCATAAATCTCGCAAAATCACTATGGAAAAATCCATAACTTCGTTCAGGGAGTCGCAAAGCAGATAACGAACATAGATTTAGAATCAGCGTTCCAAGACCCATCTACTGGTATACATGTCGTTGCAAAAGGCCATGGTCACCAAGTATCCTTCCCTCGTTAGTGCAATCCGAGATGAGCAGTTAAGGAATGTCCTAATTTATCGTTAATCGCTTTGAACGTCAACATTTTTTTTCAAATTTGAAAATGGGAAACGAAGTGCTTTCATCAAGCAACATCCACTCAATTTCAATTGAGCTACTGTGTTCAAAGTGCTGCGAAAAAGTGTGGATTCTCTGCATGACTAGTTTCAGCTTAACAAAATAAGAAATTCAGGCGTTTGTTAACATCTATAAAATTTGTAAGAGTACAGACAGAAATTTTGTGGAAGGTTCCTTCCTCCCTCGTAACTCTCATCAATTTCTACGTTGCTGCATTATTCGTGCAAAAAATTAGCTTTTGAGAATAAATGGATTTTTTAAGGTATCCTTCTAACCTTGCCTTTGGCTAGGGTTAAAGTTGCATTGAGAATTTACCTCAGGTAAATGCAGTCCGTTTGATGAATACGGATTTTAAGTACAGTAACTTGAGGTAAAATTCACCTTAAGGTATCCAGTCAATACTAAAGAGCCTGAGGTAGGCAAAATTTACCTTGAGAATTTGCCCCAAAGTACTTTTGTGAATAGGGGAATATGCAGATAATGAGTGATAAAACTACCTAGAGGTAGAATTTGCCTTGAGCTATCAATGATGTACGGCCACAGGACGTCCTTGAGAATAATTCTTTTGCCTTTACGCTATCTTATTCCATGGCATTTCATTTCATGATCTGGAAGTTTCTTCCTCAATCTAATCCATATTTTGCCATATTTTACCGCATACCATAAGTGCAATTATTCATAGTATTTTTTGTAATCACTTTGTCCAGTAAAATTCAAAGCAGATGATTTGTGCAGGAAATAGCGACTAATTGATGAAAAAGTGAATAGAGACAGATGACGACAAACAAAGCAGCAAGGCTCCATTAGCAGTCCTTAGCTAAAATCAGTTGTGTGCCGGTGGTCGCGGGCCGAAGAACGAGAAAAACGCGCCTCATAAGCATTTTGAAGCTCAAATTCCCACATACCGACTGATGTCCTTACCCTTCGCGCCTGAGCGAAATTGACTCCACCCTCACCCAAGTATTTAAGCGACCGCCGGCCGGCCCAAGTTCTGAATAAGGATACTGATAATATGTACGTGTTTGGTTTTGACCTAAAAAATGCACGCCTAAAGCATTATAAATTTGGAGCGAAGAAACAAAATATAGCGAAATCGACGATTTTCTGTAGATCTAGACTTCATCTTTGAAACTTCTGACGTGTAAACTTCAGGTAAAGTTGAGATCAAAATAGGACAGGTGCCAAAATGCTACAGAATTAAAAGATTTTGATAAATTCGAGCTTTCGAATGCTTAAAAGAAGCGCTATGACATGGAAACAATGCAAATTCAAAGCAAACAATAAGACTGGAATGAAAACATCAAAATGCATCAAGATTATTATTTTTTGACAGATCTAGGTTTTTTTATACACAGTTATACTTTAACACAGAAACAGAGCGAAGGACAAAGCCCATATAATGACAGGTGAGACAAAAGATGCAGCAAAATCGTTGTATGGAGGGTGTTTGAGTGGAATAAGCAAATAAATTATCACCTGAGTATGTTGAGAGTATGAAAGCCAAGATTGAAACTGGCTCAAACCTCGGACCGGCCGACGGCAGCGCAAATCCGGCCGGCGGGAATGGTGTCAATTCTACTCAGCCACAAAGGATGAGACCACCAGCAGGAAAAGCGCAGCCGCCAGGCGGTATGTGGTAGTCGCGCTTCAAAATAGTTATGGGGCGCGCTTTTATCGATCTTCGACCGCTTGATCACCGGGGGTACGGGACAGGAGTCGCGATTTTTCTCAGAGCAACGCCGCAACACGACATCAAGCAGTACAAGACTCAGATTCCGTAAGTACCCCTGTCGCAGTGCAATGTTAATTATCATCCGGTCATGCGCCTGCCCCCCCCCCCCCACTCCGTGAGGCACAAAATTTGAGCGCGGCCAGCGGCAGCCGCGCGCGGTTAGCCCGTAGCCGGCCGCTACAGGATTGATACTAGCTACGGACTGCTGATGGAGCACACCTACTGCTCTTTTTGTCGTCAACTGTCTCTATTCGCTATCGTGTAATCGTTATTCCGTGAGCGGATCATCTACGTTATAGTTTATTGATTATCAGGAAGAAACTGCTAGACCATGGGATAAAATCCCATAGAAGAAGCACAACGTAAAGACAAAGTGAATATCACCAAGGACGCATTGTACACATCATCATTTTCAATGATATAGTTGAATAGACCTATAGACTTTCTATATGTATCAACCGAAAGTTGATTAACATGTAAGTTGTACCATGTGTTCTAAGAGCTTTAAACAACTAGAAATACCGTCGGTATTTCCATTAGAGATTCATCTGGTATAAATGGGGTTCTGAAGATTCCGTGTCAGAAATATTCAAAAAACTTACTTATTTAGAAGACGAGAGTGTGCAAGTGTTACCCAAGCAGCCGCCTGGTGCCGCATCCAGTAGTCAGAGCTGGCACCAGGGCCGGTAGTAATCCCCCCGACCTGGCGGCAGGTCTCGTCGGCAGGTTGCTGGCACCTTTCCGCGAGGTGGCCAGAAACTAAGAACCGAAATTTAGGCCGTCCCAGGCCTTTTTTCAAAAAATTTTCTCGATAAAGTTGCCGCCTCGACTCTGTAGAAAACTTCATAAAAATCTGCGGCTCCAAAACTCCTCCTTTAGTAAAATATCTGGAATTCCAGGAGGAGCTGCCGGCAACTTCGCGATGTCAGTTGCCGGCAACCTGCCGGCAGGTTGCCGGAATCCGCGAGATGGCAGCTGCCGGCAGGTCAGAGAGCACGGGAAATAGCGTGCTCTTTTGAGAGAGCGAGCTGCCGGCATCTCGACGTGCCCCTACCACGTCGAGGTGGTGGCACCTTTGTCGACGGCGTCTGCGAGTTTGCGAATTGCGGCGATATCACACAATTTACGTCAGGCGAAAAAATCAAAAATTCTAGTTTTCATGAAGAAACTATCATTTTTCTCATTATATGTGTTTTTCTTTTTTAAAATGACGATTTTCTTACAGAGAAAAAATCCACTAATGCCTTAGAATCATATAGAACACGAACTGTTTTGGCAATCCCTTATAAATCTCAGTTTGCACCGATTTCGCTATTCTCTCGCTCATATGAATCAGCTGTTCTTTCAGGTCAAAGTCTCTCACGCAATGTATCGATCCCTTTTATAGGCAGCCATTCACCAGTGCGTTCCTCCTATTGCTGGTGCAAAACGCAATGGCTAACCGAATGGTCGAATGGTTAACGTGGTGGCACTTCAAGCTAACGCACATAGGTTCGACCGCGCGCAAGGTAGCATTTTGCGGCTGTCTGCGTCATCAAAACTTAATGTGCGAAATATTGCGTGCCAAGGTTACATAGGATTATTGAAACCTACAATCACTCCGCGAGCTGCCGGCGGAGTTGGCATCTTTCCGCGATGTGTGCCAACTTGCCAGCATCTATGATGCCACCAGGTAGGGTAGATTACTATCGGCCCAGGTGCCGCGGCGGAGCTACCCTAAGCGCGTTCTCGTCGTCCACAACCTCATGCCGAAAGATATTCGCAGCAGCTTTGCACCTCATGGCGTGAGGTATGAGAATCTCTTTACAAGTCGCGCGACTGCCGAGTTACATATCGATCAAGACCGCAAAAAATTTGTATTAGGTTGAACCGAAAGTTCTTTCGCACCAAACTCAAAAATTCATAACTTCCGATTTTCCCAACAGATTTGACTGCT